GACTGTAACATGCACGCGTCTTCAGCATAAGTTGCCATAGTGATCTAGGTTAAAAAAACAGAAAAGCTGCATTAGTGACACTGAAAATTGCTTTGGGCTGCATTCAACCTCAACAAAACCAGCTGTTACGTCCCCGTAGCAGCTTTTTAGAACACACGTCAGTGCTGGTTTACATTTCCTGAAAGGCGCACCATAACGTTGCTCCTTGTTTTCAGATTGCATGTGCCTTGCATTGTGAGGTGCAACAAAGGGACCATAAAACCCTTTATAGAGTTTGTATGATGAGCGTGTTCACTCTGTTTACAAATCCAGAGTTGTGCTTTCGTTGTGAGAAACGGTGAAATGAAAGATCTGACTTCTATTCTTTCTTTCTAATGGCCAAAACAAAGCATTCAGAATGTTTCACGCAGTCAACAGCTTCCATGGTTCACCTGGTCAGTTTTGCCCTCCAGGCCACAAAAGCTGCTTTCACTGCAATCGTTGCTCTAGCTTCTTTTCCTCTTACTCACCCGTTGGGTCATAAAATATCAGTTAACGGGGTTTCAGCACCTAAACTGACATCTTGAAATGAAAACTGGTTTCATGAGTAATATTTTGTCTTTTTATAGACTTTTATTATATTTGACTTCCTGCCTGTGCTGTAGTAAACAGTCTGTTTCATAACAGACTTCAGAGGATGGTGCATCCATCACTGATCAAACCCAAATTTCACACTTCCTTAAAATAATTCTGTTCTCGTCTTACTGTCTAACACTTGGGAAGCTGCACATGCAGTGAGAGCCTTTGCTCAGATTTGCCTGCAATGGGAAAAGGTGATAGAGGCAAGAGGCGAACAGAAGAACTTGTGAAGAACACATGAGTTTCTCTTTGGCAACCTTTTGATACTGATGTCCAACACAAGTGATTATATATAACGATATAAAGAAATGGTACAGAAATGGTACTTTAATCATCTGGGCTGTACATGGCCCACGATGTAAAATGAGTTGCCTGCCTTAGCACACACCATTTATATATTTTCTGGACTGTGATTTCCTGTTGTGTTCAATAAACATATGAAAACTAAAAAGACTAAAATAGTGCATTACTAATAGTCAGATCGGATTTGTTTACGATTAAGATCAACATGTTATCGCTGTAGAAATCCTGAAATCATTTTGAAGGCTTGAGAAGTTCTAGTGAACGCATCTTTGTGATGCATATAAAGTCTGATTGCATCACAGAGATACCTGATGTAATTTCCAACCTATGAAACCTAAAGACGTAGAATCAGTGTTACTTTCTAAGCTTGCTTGAGGATAGCTTGAGATAAGTTTAGAATCACTAGATACTCTGTCAGTCGAACAATGAAATATGGCTTAACTGACCTTTTTTTTTTTTATCACATTCACAAATGTACTTTCACTTTTTAATTTCTTCTTCTACAATAGTCCTAACGCTGCATTAAATTGTTTGTTCAAATGCTACGATGTAACAATAACCTATCAGCCTCATTGGCAGGTGTGACTCTGATGTGTCTGGAGTGCATTTGAAAAAAATTGCATTGCACAGAATCCTCAAGTCAATTTAGTACATTTTATTACTGTTCCACCATTTATACAAGTACATATAATTTTGAATGCATCAATTTCCATATCATCTTTTTGTTTGTTTGTCTGAACGTGTGGTGTGGAAGTAGCAGTGATGAAACATGGGATGAAAATATCAACTGTAGTTGCCATGGATGCAGACTGAAAAATTATTATTTTTTCCACTTGACCAAAAAGACAGGACTACAGGTTCACCCAACCACGGACATGCAAGTTACTGAGTCAAGAGAGGAAGAAAAAACTGAGCCAAGTGACAAGCGGCGCTCCTCGAGTGTTTGTTTCTGCTACGGTTTGACGAGTGCTGGGAGGAAAACGCTGAACGTCACATGGATGGAACTGAAAAGTGGCAGATGGATGGCTGAGATGACTAAATATATATATACATATACTTACATACATGCAAAGGTGGAAAGACGAATGTTGGTTTGAATAAGCCAAGCACAATTTTGGGTTGCTGGTACCTTACTTGACTGTTTTGTGCAAAAGCATTTAGCTCAATAAAGTCGTACTACTTCGTCCACTGTGTTCATCATGAAGTACAATCTAAAATCTGAGCTTTCTTGTCCTTCACGTTCTTCCTTCCATCTGTCCTGCTGGTTTTCTTTCACTGTCATTTCTTCCTTTTTCATCTCATATGATAATCATCAAAATGTTTCTACTGTAGTATCAATGATAAAAATCCCTCCTTTGTTTTTCCTGGGCCGGTGTATTCTATTTTCACTAGTTTGCACTGAGAGTGCTGCATAACTGCACTGTGCTAAAGACACAAGCAGCATGACGCACATGCACACAGGTTTAGTACAAGACAGAGATTTGGGTTACACTTAACCAGTGCATTTAAAAGTGATGCTATGGGGTCTTTAAACGTCCACATGTGGCAAGTTAGAACTGTCTCAGTATCACCGTAAACCTGCACATGTGTGAATCTGAATGGGCTGGTTTTTGCTGGTTGCTGAGAGTTTAAGGATGCTCAGCTCTGTAAAACGCTGTAATGTCACCTTAACTTTTTTAACCAGGTAATTCATTAGTAGCGGAGGATGGGTGGAGTTAACACCATGCCGAACAACCGCCACGTCCTACTCGCACAAGTGATGAACACGACTGAAAAACCAAGAATGGAGTCAATACCACAACTGCTGCTTTCTAAGCATCCATCTCTGTGCAAGATTACTCCCACTAAAAACCCTTAAAGGTCTCCATACATGCAATTTGAGCCACACTGTGCAATGTGGTTCTAATACACTTGGGTAAGACGTCATATTTGATGCATACTGTTGTTGGCATACCCACTGGATCATGTGCCATTTATGTCTCTTCTACTTTCTTCTATGCTACATCGTCCTCCCCTCATCCATCGCAACTCAACCTAAGTCTCTCCTTTGCTGGAATCCTAAAGTTTTGCTGTGGAAGTTTAGTCCCAAGCTATTTTTGTTTGCAGGACTCCACTGCCATGACCAAAGATATCATGATTCTTTCAAAGTCTCACACTGTTTACGGTTTTACACCAAAGTGTTTTGGCTTTTAAAAAAAGTTCCTCAAGCGGTGGAAGCTGGGTGTTTTCAAAAGTGTGCTTGGTGTTTACAGTAAAAATAAATTTGGGTGGAGACATCTATCAATATTGCTAGTTTTTAATGTATCAAAGGTGTACTTTAGTACTTTTCCTTCCACCACTGCACAGATGTACATACATGTAACCTATATTTCCAAACAGTAAAGGAAAATGCACGAATGGCGATAATGACTAAATCAGAGGCTCCCTTCCATGTGCAAGGCCTTTCTTTCCAGCCTTAGAAACATGGACCATATTACACTGAATTGGTTGCTGATGGCTCTGATCGTTTGCTGAAATCCTGCCTCCTGCCTGTTCTTCAGTGGTATCAGACTGTTAGTGGTGGAAAGCTACACTGATTCAAAACCCAGTAAATCAGACCTGGGTCAAACAGCATTGTGAGCGCTCTCGCTTAAGGCCTTTTCACTGCTTTGATACCAAAAGGGTGAGGTTTGCTCAACAGGGCAGACTGCTTTAGTGCTGTAAGGTTTGCTCTGGTAGGCCCATTAAACTTGAATATGAAACGGCTCTACTAGTTGGATAGTGTCTTTTTTAACTGTTGAAATTTCCGTGTCAGGAGATTGTATGTGAGCATGTAACAATTTTATTTCAAAGTAAAAGAATCCACTGTTGACTTTTTCAGAAACATATTGTGCTGCTAATACTTGAATCGAAAGTGTGTCTTGCAGTCAGTTTTACACCCTTTTACTTTCGCTAAGGAAATGATTTGTCTTCCAGACAATCACAGGATGTTTGAGTGCCAGTCTTGTCTATTTAGGTTACAAAGGCACAACTGAGCATTCACTAACTGAGCTCTACCCATGAAGGAGCAAACATCACCTTCTTGGTATTTTAAGCAAGTTCAAACAACCTCTAAGATGTGACCGTACTGTCTACTTCACCCAGGTCAGCAAAAGATATGTCTTTTCAAACAAACAAAAAAAACGTATACGATAATTTTTACTCTAATTTGTCTTCAGATTTTGCTCGAGGACGAGAGGCTTGTATTGAACTTTCTAAGAACATTTTAGAGATCTTTTCAGCGAGGCTTTGCAGATTATCTAAGCAATACAAATGTTAAAAAACCCACTTAGTTTACTAACAATATAGCTAAGGGTTTCAGTACAAAATGTAGAAGTTTATCTGAAAAATCCTACAACTGTTTAATGTCTAATGTTGTTTTTTTCTCTGCAAAGCCCACCTTTACCAACCTTGCGAAATGCCTTAGAAAGCCTGAAAATTCCCAGTCCTCACAATGAATCTCCAAGTAAAAGCTCTTCAAAGAAAGTGGGATCTTTTTAGAGAGAAAAATAGGAAGCAACACAACCCGACAATACCACACACAATCACGCACGACCACAACCACGACTCCACAGCACTGAAAAGCTGGAGGTACCAGGCCAGAGCCAAAATCACAATATTCTGACGAGGAGGATGAGAGGAAGAGGGAGAGCTGAAGAGGGGACAGATTCGACTTGAGTCCAGCTGGTAAGGTGTTTTCTTAACTTCTCCCCTTCCCTCCATCAGAACCCCAAAATTTAGACGTCCACAGATCGAATGCAGGAGCCTTCTGTGGGCTGACGTGGGAATCAGGCCAAACTTTGTGGGACTGTATGAGCGAGAGGAATGGCGGATAAATGGCGAGGCGTATGGCCGACATACACTCGTATCAAAGTTCAAATACTACAGCAGAAAAAAAATAGAATAAAACATAACAATAATAATAGCAATAATCATCTGCAGCGGTGGGAAACTTCTCCAGGTGGTTGCTTCAGTCCTCCTTGATCAACAAATCTTCATCATTACAATTATTATTATTATTGTTATTATCATAATATGGGTGGACTAGTAAATTTCTTTCTTTCTTTTTTAATCTTCATCGTTGTTGAGTTAGGTAATTTATTTCTTCATTTCCGAAAAGTGGCTGTCCATTAATCTTGAACTGCTACGGTTTGATCCTTGCTTGGTGCCTCTGTGGCGTTTGCCTCCTTGGGAGGTTCGGCGGCTGGTGTTGAACTAGGAGCAGGGGTGGCCTCCTTTGCTGGGGCGGGAGCTGCCGCTGCCTCTGTAGGCTTGGGGTCGGGGGAGGCAGCGGGGGCCGCTTCGGCTTTGGCTGCTGGTGCCGCAGGGGCCTCAGTCTTTTTGGCGTCGGCCTCATCTTTGCTCTCGGCTGCAGGGGTGGGTGCCGCGGCCTTAGCCTCGGCTTCCTTCGCGGCCGGGGCCGATTCTTTGGCCGGGGCAGGGGCGGCTGGTTTCTCCTCGGCCTTGGCGGGCTCTGCGCTCTTGGGCGCCTCCGTTTTGGGCTCAGCGTTGGCGGCAGGTTTCTCTGCCTCCTTTGCGGCAGGAGCTGCGTTCTTTTCCTCCTCTTTGGGTGCCGCGGCATCAGCTGCTGGCGCCTCCTTGGCTGCCGTGTCATTAGCTACCTCCTTAGCATCACCGGCAGCTGGAGCCCCGTCCTTGTTGTCTTTCGGTGCTTCGCTCTCCTCTGCTGAGGCCCCCTCGGCTTTGGCATCCTTGTCTTTAGCCTTGTCATCGTTTACACTGTACCCCTTCTTCTTTTTGCTGAGCTTGCCTCCCATTTTGTATCACTGGCCTCTGGAAGATAAGGAAAAAATAAGACTTTTAGTAAAAGTAGATATTATACTTTTCACAGAGAATGCATTTGGGTAAAAATGCATTAAAGCTATAGCAAAATGTATTAACAGCATGTCAAACAACCGCTATGGCATTCTGTCTGAGACGTATGTGTGTTGTGTTGGAGAGATATCGCCTTAAGTTAAAACTAGGCTGGGTTGCACTTTCATGTAATACCATGTTAAAACACTAGGAGGTGCAACGAGTCACATTTCCCAGAAATCCAAAATCATCCGCGCCAAGTTTTATTCACGCTAGTCTTAGCTCAATGTTTGTGCACTAACAGGAACCACAGATGGAAGAAGCATGGATCTGGATCATATTAATGAGAGGTGTGAATGGGCGGGAACCCAAACCCTAACCCTGTAGTGTTGGAAGGCATATAATCAAATACCTGGAAGGGAAATATGAGGTGTGTAGATGCATTGATTGACCAGCCAAAGACCGGAAGTTAGATCAGATTCACATTTACTTTTTAATTGGAGTTTTTATTTTTAGCATTGAAATTTCAAATATTTAAATTTTCTGAAACTATATTTGTTTGGCATGTGGCTAAAATGCAATCTAACCTGAGTCCCAAGAGGTTTGCCAGAATCGGGTGGACATTGAGAGGTTATGAGCTAATCTTCATAAGCTATTGGCCACTGAAAGGTTGTTGTTTTGTTGCACCATCAGCCTTCACTTCTTATTTGAGACAAAAAGTGCAAAATCTGGACCGTGTAATGTGTATGCAGAAGCCACGCATTTCTGGAAAACCAGCTCTCAAATTACATTTTTAATGCATTCTTTCAGCATGACCCACATGCCCCCCAGAGAGAAGCACAGCATGATATTTTCATTTTCCACATATTACAACAGAGAAAAAACTAGATGAAGTAATAGTCATCGGAATAATTGATGTTCACTGTAAGAAAAATGCAGAAGCCTTTAAACTACAAGTCCAAAAAAGAGACCTCGCTCATGTATTCCATCATCCTGGACAACACAGAGTAGGCACATCTAGTTTCTCAGCTTTCAGATCAGGAACATCTAATTATAAGTGTACAAAAGAGCTTTCAAAGCTCAGATGCCAGCAGTAAGAGGAAATTCAAATAAGTTACTGAGACAACACTCAAATCAAACCGTCCCTTAAGTTCCTCAAATGGCCGCCGAACATGGCTAATTAAATTCTTATCTTGGTTGATGGGAAAGACTATTTTTGCAGAGAAGTAGACATAAAAAAGATCTGTGTTTGACTGGGTAAAATAATAGTTGCTGTTTTAGTGTGCAGAATGAGATTTCTGGGGTTAAATCTTCTCAGTGCAGAGATTAGTATCCTATGGGTAGTGATAAAGCGAGAGAACCGATACCAAGTATGAGTTTCTGTAATTCTGATTAACACGAATTAGCCATACAAGTTCTGCAGTATGTCTCCCACCTGACTGAAATGTTTTCAGTCTTTAGAATGACCAATCAGTTCATTAGCCTCATATCACCAGTAGGCACACTCCTCAACCTTCTAGCCGCCTGAGTAAGATGTTATCATCCTAGTGGCTCCATGTTGTAGTGATTAATGCATGCACCTTACTCATGGCAGACAGATCCCTGGTTTAAGACCAGGGAGAGACACAAACCCAGCCTCAGGGGGTCACGAGACAGTATGCTCCTGGTGCTGATCCCAAGACTGGAGTAATGGAAAGGTTGTGTTGGGAAGGGCAGCCAGTGACAAATCAGACAAGTTAATCTGTCCCCTGTGCTGACTTCGGAAATAAGTGATCAGCTAAAAGTTAACTCTTTGTAGGATGTAATAATAAAAAAAGATTCTTGAAAATATAGTTTTGAAACATCCTCAATACCTGGAGAAGAAGCTGTCATCTTTTCTTAAACCCAACCAACCCAACCAACCCAAAACCCGATGCAAGATACTGGATGTCAAACCTAATGTAACACAAGCTAAATCCAACAGATGAGCCTTGAGAAAACTATGAACACTGCCTCATATTACAGCTCCTGCATATGAATCAAATGATAACAGCCTCAAAAGAAGGTCACCAACTACTGGTGCAGCACTTTTTTTGCCCGATAACAATTCATAATGCGAATACATTATTGGTTGATAATGTATGAAATGGGTTATCTGTCCTTGATCATGTATCTCATGAAAATTAATGATAATAGAATAATAAATAGCACCTGGTAGAGAATTTCTTTCCTTATTTTCTGTCATATATCTCATCCGAACAGTGGATTAATTTGAAAACATGGCCAAAACTTCAATGTAATCCTTTTTAATAAAGCCTGACCCCCTGCCACCTTTAAGATGAATCTTTGGGGCAACAAAACTGGCTGATGAACGTTTTGAAACCCAGCATTTCTACATTCAAGTTATTCATGAATAAATGAAAATCTCAAATTGTACTGCAGGAAATTCTATCATCAGGATGGAATATTTCCTTGAAATACTCAACCAGGATGTGAAGCACACAGGGAATCTATAAAAAAGGCTGGTTTGGAGCGCTGTAAATCACCAGTCACTAAGCAGGCAGAGAAATGTGTGTGTGCAGGCTCAGTACACACTCCCACCCCCATAGACACACACACCTGCAGATTCCTGGCTCAGTCTTTCAGTTGAAGATTTTTTTCACGAGTGTCACCATCTGCCTGCTTCATAGGGGAGAGGACTTCAATGCCACAATGAATCAAGCTTATTAGGAGCAAAGGATCAAAGATGGAAGCGTGTCGGATAAGATCCCTCTACGCCGATGATTAAAATAGAGAAAAAGAAAGTCGTAATTTTATTAAGCTATTCTTCTTAAAGCAGTTTGAATTCATCAGTGTATGTGAAATATGCAATTCAGCTGCCTTACCAACAAGGCAACGGATAAAGATCACCATCTTAGAAACTTAAATCAAGAGGCTATGTTACGTTACGTGTGCAGACGTTTGCGTTGCCTTTTGAGTTTTACCTCCAGCAGAATGTTTTTGAATTGGCTGAGCAATAAAAAACCCCCAAATAATTCTTTTCTTTTTAAATGATAAAAAAACTGCCCTCTGTTACTGAATGTCTCAAATGGGGCCATGTTGACGGACCGACTTCACAAGACCTTTTTATTATTCCTCAGTTATGTGGTTAACACCAAGGCGTCCTCTTTGTGCTGCCACTTGTAAAAGTGTGAAATCTGTCAAAACGGCTCTGAACGCAGACGTGACCTTTTCCTCCCAAACAAACCCGACCACTGAGAGACTCTGCCGGCTACTCACAAATTTGCCCTGCGAACGGGGCCGAGCTGACGGTGAATCCACTCAAAATGCTAATCGCCTTGTCGCCACTGACTAAATTACTCCACTATTCACGCAATGTTCCTGCGGTCGTCCAACAGTTGGCATCTGCCAGGGCCAACGTTCCTGCCGCAGCTTTATACGACCCACAATGCAAGTCTCTCTGCCGCATCACATCATTTGACTCCCGGCTTGTGCTGCCAGTACAATGACTCATGATCATCAGGCAAACAATGGCTATTCACACGAAAGGCACGCTTTCTCACTGCTGGGCGTGTGGTTTTAGTATTTGAAGAGCTGGGGCAGGGCTGAGACAACCAGGAGAAAAGGCCCCCAGCTGACAAAAGACTTAATTTAACCTGCACACTGCAGTCACAGAAGCACAAAAGCAAGTGTGAATGGTCCGTTATGACCTTCCAACATGGCTTTGTGTGGACAATAACGTCAGTGCTTAGGAAAGGTGGCCACTTCTATCTTAGTGGCTTGAATGGAAGTAAAAAATGAGCAACTAGAGGGCAGAGAGCAAAGGTCCAAAAAACACTGGACAAACTTCCAAGCCACACATAAAAAGAGAATCCTTTGTTATTTTTATCAGTTCATCTTTACGCCGATTCCTTGACCTTTTATTTCACACTCTGCAAGGATTTGGAATCAAGTATCTCAATCCACTTAGACACACTTTCATTGTTACGGTTGTAAGAAGCTAATCTTCTAACTGTGGAAATCCCTGATCTCATCACTGTGAAATCGCTTCTTGTGCTCTGACCAGGGTTGATCTGCATTTCCAAATTTCATAACTGTGTTTCGAGATGAGAGAGACTTCACTGGCTTAACTGAAAATGTGTTTAATAGGTGAAACTTTAACCTTTGCGACAGACTAAAAACGCGACAGGGAAGTGAAGGGTACTCACTACATCTGGGGACTCCTACAGTCGCTCAACAAATTGCCATCATTGGATTCTTTTATCTTTGCCCAACAGGAGTCATCCCAGGACTCTGAATAATCTGATGATCCTTCATGACCAAGAGTGGGGAGTTAAAAACTCATTTTTAACAGGAAGAAGCCTCATGCAGGGGACGGCCATATGCCGCAGATGGTTGGGTGAGGGGAAAGGGAAGAGTGTAATTTTACTCTTAAGTTACTGGAATTGTTCAGTCTTCGCCACTGTACATTTGTTTCCAGAAGATGCTGACAAACAGCAAAAAAAGGCTTTCAAGCTCAGCTAAAGTCAAATTAAAGACGCTATTGAAATCCCATAAAAGACCCGTAGTCAGCGTGTTTAAAAAGCAGCCCGTAGAGACCTCAGCGAATGTCGATGCATCTTTCTAAGGTCCATTTATTCTTCCTGAGACTGCACACACCCAAGATTAACACACCTGTGCGTTTCTTCTTCTACTATTCCCCACTGTGTTCAGCAGTTGCCTCCTTTAGCCACAGACTCTCCAATCCCTCAGCCTCTCGAGCTGCTGAGTTAACAATACCCACGATTGATTACGGCAGCGGCGCACGGCGAAAAAGCATTTAAAGATTATTAAGTGACGATCATGTCCGTGTCTGGCGAGTCAAAAAGGCGGCAGAGAGGTTTAGGATGAGCAGAAGTCCCTGAAGGAGCAGATGGCTGAGCTTCTCCAGCTCTCACCATCTCTGGCGAGTCATCTGTCACGCCCACACATCGACACCACTGCTCAGCTCTGCTCCACTT